GATATTCATACCTTTTTTCAAGTGTAAGTTCACATGGTTTCAAGAGGAAATATCTAGTGATATCTAGTGATCATCGGTGTTAAAAAAACTGGACAATTGCATAATTTCATGTGAAAAACAACATCAATTGTGATTGAATCAGCGAAACATTGCAGAACTTTTCGGGATTTCTGGATGTTTTTTTCACCGAAGAACCGTTGGGCTTCACCAGTTAAAAAGTCGGAGAGGTCTGCAGAAAGCCAATGGTGAATGGGTTGTTTCCACCTGTGGTTGTGTTTTATACTTGAAAACCAAACATATCCCTGGTTTTCTTCTACAGATCAATGTCAAGGTATATGGTCAGGAACTCACTTTTTTCTTGGCATCGTGACATATTATATGCCATCCCGTGTTCATCAGTGTTCGTGCCCTCTTAGAAAGTAGTGTGGACGGCTGTGTGGACACGGGTCAGAGTAGATTCTAAAGCCATGGAAAGCACAGATCTTGTTGACCCCTAACCATCTCCCCGGACGTGCGTCGCACTTGGGAATCAGTGGTTCAGCGTGATGTTAGGCACAACTGGAGTTGTCCCAGACATATCTCTGCAAGGTGGTGTTACGAGCCATGGTTTACCGAAGCAGAAGTCAACCTTCCCCAAGTTATGTTTGTTGGTTTATAATCCCATTCACTAGTTCGATATATCTACCAGCTACCATAAGTCCTAGTGAAATTAGAGTTATAAATTAGCTATCGACCGGGGGCACCACCAACCGTGTGAATTTCCAGCAGAGCGAGCAGGTTATGAGTTGATGCTGGAGCCCAGTCAGTTCAGTTGATTCAGTCGTCAGCTAGGACCTAGGATTAACTGGGTTGTAGACGAAGGCATGATGAAGTAACCAGAACTCTAATAGTTATAATCCCATTAACTATAGATATATCTACCAGTAGTTAACTGGGATTAACATGAAGTAACCAGAAATGGGACATGTGTACTTTTGGAGCGAAAAATAAAAATCTACATGTCAAACGAGTCTCAAATTGGCTTGGTTATCCATTTTTTATCGTTGGTGGTATCCCCTGCATTTTTCCCTAAGTATATTCACTTACCCTCTGGTAATTTAACATAGCTATGGAAAATCACCATTTTCAATGGGAAAACCCACTATAAATCACCATTTTCAATAGCTATGTTAAATTACCAGAGGGTACATCATATCTTTAATCTGAAGATTGTTTGTTGGTTCCTCTCCCAATCTGCTTCCGAGGCGATTGGCATTTCTGTGTCCTGGCGACCATTGATAGCTCGGTCATGGAAAGTCCTATGTTTTTGTGTACCAATTTACAAGGATAAGTTCAACATCTGTCTCATAGATGATGGAAGAGAATACAACCTAATATAATATATATATACACACCCATGGTCATGCTTAGTTAGTAAGTCCTTATAAGCATGGAACAACAATATTTCTTTTCATTCAGCGTGCCAGGATGGACCTTTTATGAATGATCTGTGATCTATTCAGGTGGATAATATGGGGATCATGTTGGATTAAAATGGAACACCTACCAATTCAACAGTTTCAATGGATTGGTTTAAAGCATCTACAGGAAACCATGCTTGCATGTTGTTACCCCAAATTGTTACCCAAAATTGATCTGTTTTTTCCTGCAGTTTTTCCGGATCTCATTTTGAAAGGGCTTGAATGGCGAAGACAACCAGAAGAAGTTGACAGTTACCTGGTTTACCTGGTTGGCTGCACCAGATTTGTTGGAGAAGATTGCGGACAGTTTCAACAAGAAACACCTCCAACTGAGTGGTCCAAGATGGTCCCATTCTATCTCGCCAGAATGATCACGTCCATCATGTGCACATGTTGGATTTGTTGACACGTTTTTTAAGGTGAAAGTTCGCGAAAAATCGAAAGTGTTGGTGACTGTCCCCCTATGTTTGACGCATATCTGCCCCCATATCTTGTACATAAACCATGAGTCACAAGACCATTTTGCCTCCGGCCGTTATCTCACCATTTCAATCATGCAATGGCTTTGGATGACCTCAGACCAGGGAGTAAAGTTTTCCGGTTGTGTTGAATTGCCGACTTGCCTGCCCAAAAATTCATGGTGACACGGTGACACCCCAAAAATACATTAAGATACATGCGTCATAAGCCCTTCTGTAGAGATAACCATGATAACCCCAAGCATGAAACGGGTAGAGTTACCTTTTCACGGGGGACCGACCCAGACCATGGTCGTTGTCTTCCTCCTCAGCGAGTCGTTACTCCTCTTCGTGCTGACGTTGTTGGTGAGCGGTTTCCTTTTCGCGAGTTTGCCACTGGGCGGTTCAACAAAACGAATATAGGATGGTTCCTATATGTTCCTATGGACAACGGGGTGTCAACCAACTTAAATAGATGGAGTTCAATCAAGCAAATGGGATCTATATATATATGATTTTAACTATATGGTATTATGAATATGGCATAATATGGCGTTGTCCAAGGTTGATGGGTTGATGATCGACCTGGTCGCCCATAACAAGGAGCAACAGCCCGTGACCGCGGCACTGAGGAAATTCTGCTTGCAGCCCTGGGCCTGGTTAGGACCCAGCCTGAGATTTGATGAAAGGTGATGGGTGCAGCGGTGCAGGGTGTTCACTACGGTTAGTCTCTAAGTTTGGAATGAACAGCCAAGTTAATCATTGGTTATATGGTTATGTCATATATCATATAATTATCCATATATATATATAATTATCCATTTAATTAAATTATCCATATAATTAAATTATCCATATATATATAATATATATATATTACTATATTGATTTGTTTCTGGTTAAGCCCTGACTTTCTGAATGTGGATGTTGGGCAATGTTCAAACTGTTCAAACCACCAAGCAGATAAAATCAGTAGCTCGGGAGTAATATTAAACATCCCTCAAACGGTCCCACATATGTGCAAATCCCCTACAATTCCCCATGATTTCCGGGTGGTGTTTAATATCAGGGCTAAGGGATTAATCAACCTATCGGACATGATTCTATTTGAATATATTCGATGTTGTGTTACACAGAGATCCCTGATATTGGGGTTGTGGCAAAGGGATTAACTTTCATATCTATATATATATATATATACTGGTTGGTGGTTTGGAACATGAATTTTATGTTTCCATCATATATGGGGAATAATCATCCCAGCTGACTAATATTTTTCAAGATGGGTAAAACCACCAACCAGTATGTATATATATATCACGATTACGAAAAAGTTTTTTTTGCAACATAGGGATCCCTGATAATATCTATATCTATATTATGTGTACATATCTTAGGTAGTTTCGTGAGTATGTCCAATATTTTCCCACATATGTCCCATATAAATTGGGAAAGAGGATGACATGATACGACCTGCCTATGACCCCGCGGAGGACTTGACAATCACATGCCCATTCTCTTTGACCTCCGTTCCAGCGGACTGGAGGTGTGGGGCAACCGGTCAGTTCATGTCAGTGCTCAAAAAACAATGGCTGGGAATGAGCTGTTCTATGAACATCGGAAAACAGCAACATATCAACATATATCAACATGTGTATATATATATATACACATTATATTATATGTCTACTAGTACATATATGATGCATATGTATATGAATGAATGCACACGTGTATATCTATATGCATATATATATATATGCAGCTATATAGTGGGCTCACCATTTATCTGGTTGGTGATTTAAAAAATGCCGTTCATCCTTCTTCCTATAAACACGCATCCGGGAAAAAGGAACATAAGTTCTAGTTTTAGTACTTGATCTATTCTTTATTGTGTCCATGTTGGTCAGTATAGGAATGATATGATATTTGATGTTCCATCCTATTGTGGATCGTGAAAGAAATCCTGCACCAGTTGTCACACGATAATCCCATTACTAATGTTAATAGTGTTTTATAGTCACCAGGAGTCACCAACTGGTGCAGGATGTTGTCTATTCACAGTGTGATGATTCCAGACATTAACCCCATTATATACTGTTTGGTGGTTTGGAACATGAATTTTATTTTTCCATTTCATATATGGGATGATCCTTCCCATTGACGAACTCATATGTTTCAGAGGGGTTCAAACATGTTAAAACCACCCACCAGAATATAAATCCAATGAACTCCCCCCAACAAAAAAACTACCATCTGGTTATTTAACAGTTCGCCATGGAAAATCACCATGCCATTAATAGGTAACCATCTATTTCGATTAGGGCCATCTATACCATGGCTATGTTAGTCATAACCAGAGGGGAATAAAAATCCCTTTCGTAAATCCAAGCACCAAGCAGATGGTCGTCTTCCGACAGCTGACCAATTTCAGCGAAACGCCGTGTTTCCTGTGGTGATTTCTTAGTGGATCTCCAGTCTTCATGATCCAATGCCTTGGAAACCTCCATGACTCGTTGTTTGATCATCATGGTTTTGGATTTTCGCTGGGCCCAATGACATTTTTGGAGTTTCGAAAACAAAAAAATACAATAGAAAAAACCATCATATTTTACAACAGAAAAAACATACATATTTTTTTTAGCAAGGTGTCTGGGAAACACGCCTGGTAGTGACTCCAGCAACGAATTGTGGAAGCCATCACCAGTCCTCGTCCCTGTGGATCCGTCGTCGTTCGCTATCATTGCTGAGCTCCTCACGGGTGGTGCGAAAAAAAACATATTTGGCACCCCAAAAAATGGAAGGTTGTATTTAAACATATAACATATGACAGCAAAATGAAAAATAAAAATAAAAATCCATGTTGAATGGTTCCTCCAGCCGCTTTTTTCCCCATGTTCTTCCAGGTGGTTTTCCCCCGAGTTTCAAGCCATAAACCTTGGTTATTAGAGTTATGTTCACCAACTTAGCTAACGACCTGGGGCACCACGATGAATTCCTCACTGTATCCCCACGATATCCCCATAAAATGGCGGTTTTGTCCCTCATTATATCTCCATAAAGCTACAAATTCGCCCAAATCAATCATCATTGATCCTCCAAGAAGTCAACTTTTGTATACTTTTCTGAGGTCTCACCGGTTTCAATGTTCCCTTAAAACCTGGGAGGGACAACCCAATCTTCCCTTAAAATCCCATGAAAAATCCCATAAAAAATTCCAATGACGGAGGTGGGCACTTGGGACTATTGCTTCCTCCGGCGGAGCAAGATCCCTGCGGCGCGCTTGAAGGATCTGAGCCTGGGCGTTGGACGGAAAGTTGAGGGAAGTTGAGGGGACAAAGGGCGAAAGTCAGGTGGAAAAGAGGTGATTTCATGGGTGTTTTTAATGGGATTCTAATGGATGTTCACGGGATTTTCATGGAATTTACTTGGATTTCCATGGAATTTCATGGGATTTGTTTTGTGGATTTCAAAGCCAAAATGCTGGTTTAATGACTTTTGATGGGATCTTACCAAAAGAAAATGGATTGTTATTTATTCTACTGTATATGTTTAAAAATTTAGGTTTTTCAGGATTCCTGCTTTTCTGCTGTTTCTACTTCTTTGTTTTTCCTGCTTTTCCTCTTTTTCGCTTTTTTGTTTTTCCGTTTTTTGCTTTTCCTGCTTCTGTGTTTTTCTGCTTTTCTTGCTTCTATCTGGTTTGCTTCTGCTTTTCCGCTTTTTGCTTTTCCTGCTTTTCTGCCTTTTTGCTTCTGTGCCTTTTCTACTTCTACTTGTTTTTCCGCAGTCATGCGTTTTTGCTGCTCTACTTCTTCCTGCTCCTTTGCTTCTCTGCTTCCTTCCTTCACTGTCTCTTTGCTTTTCTTTTTGTTTTGCTTTATTCTCTGCTGTTTGTATCCTTAATGAAACCCTGGATGAAACCCAAAGACACCCTGATAAGAAACCCTACATGAAGCCCTCAATGAAACCCTAAAGATAAATGACACGCTAAAGAAACCCTAAATGAACACCTAGAGAAACCCGAATTAAAACCCCAAAGACATACTAAAGATACCTTAAATGACATCCTAAAGAAACCCTAAATGACACACTGAAGAAACCTTGAATGAAACCCTAAATGAAACCCTACATAAAACCCTACATGAAACCCTAAATGGAACCCTAAATGAAACTCTACATTCAACCCTAAAGAAACCCTAAACGAAACCCCAAAGAAATCGTAAATAACACCCTAAAGAAACCCTAAATGAAAAACTAAAGATATCCTAAATGACACCTTAAAGAAACCCGAAATGAAACCCTAAATGAATCTAAATGAAACCCTAAAGAAACATAAAGAACCCCTAACCCTGAATGAAACCTTGAAGATACCCTAAAGATACCCTAAATGAAACCCTAAAGAGACCCTAATTGACACCCTAAAGAAGCCCAAAATGACACCCTAAATGAAACCCAAAAGAAACCGCAAATGAAACCCTAAAGAAATCCGAAATGAAACCCTAAAGATACCCTTAATGACACCCTAAAGATCCCGAAAGAAACCCACATCAATGAATCAACGTTCGAACTACCAACATGGAGCAAGTACCATGCAAAATGAGAGATTGGAGTGCCAAACATATAGCAAATTCCGTGCAAAATGACAGGTTCTAGTTCTAGTTCCAAAATGTGGCAATTCAAGGCAAATGGCACCAGGAAAGAAATCCAAACAAATATCCCAAACCTTTTCGAAACAATCCTAAAACTATTCTTAACCCATATTCAAATGAGAACTTGGAAGACTGAAAGGATCCTCAATGATGCAATCAGCAGCATGCTCATCAGACTTGGATGATGGATTATGGATGATGGACTTGATCTTGATGATGATGAATGAATGGATGAATGAATGAATGATTGGTTGATTGATTGATTGATTGAAGGAATGAAGGAAGGAAGGAAGGAAGGAATGAAGGAATGAATGAATGAATGATGATGAACATCCTTTCAAATGATCACTGTGGTAGAATGGATTGGCACACTGCGATATCAACTTTGGTGTCATTGCAAGACTCAACTGCGATTCGATGCAGTAGTTACATCTTTCAACTGATCACTTGTCAAAAAGTGGGCAATGTACTGACAAAGATCGGATACAAAAACTTCCCGTCGGGGGGAAAACCGCGCCAGCGGTTGTGAGCGTTTTGAAAAAAATGTTTTCGCCAGTAGCGAAACTATTGATTCATTCCTCAAAATAGGCTGAAAATTCCCCGGGAATTTGAAGTGCATTTTTGGTGATGTCCTGTAATGTACAGGGAATTTGCTCTTGAAAACGTGCGCGATGTTTTCCTCCTCTCACATCGCCATGCGCTTCTTCAAAGAGCGTCCAGTGACCTCCAAAAAGTTTTTTGATTTGGAGTTCATCCAACGCCATTGCCACACCCTGATGTTTCGCATCAGTTTTGGGTTTACATGGCGGTTGACTCTGGTCGCAAGACTACATGGTATGGCCGATTTTATGAAACATAGCGCTCTGATTGTATAAAATAAAAAGCAAATCACGACCTGAAGCTTAGTGTCGACAGGTTACAAGGCAGGTAGTGTTCCTGTTTTACATCTGTATCAACATCTGTGCGCATCCTACAACTATGATGCCAGCAAGGGGAAATGCAGACGTGACGTAGCACGTCCATGTGACGCAAGTTAACAAGAACGTTAACACACCCCACCCCACCCAACCCAAGACGTGACGTAGCATGTGCATGTGTCGCAAGTTAACATGAACGTTAACACACCCCCCCCCCCCAACCCAAGACGTGACGTAGCATGTGCATGTGACGCAAGTTAACATGAACGTTAACATACCCCACCCCCCAACCCAAGACGTGACGTAGCATGTGCATGTGAGGCAATTTAACATGAACGTTAACACACCCCACCCCCCCAACCCAAGACGTGACATAGCATGTGCATGTGACGCAAGTTAACATGAACGTTAACACACCCCACCCCCCCAACCAAAGACGTGACGTAGCATGTGCATGTGTCGCAAGTTAACATGAACTTTCACACACCCCACCCCACCCGACCCAGTAACATATGCGTGTTTGCAAAAACGTGCACGACTACTGGCGCGGTTTTCCCCCCGCTGGCACAAACCCGCATTGTCAGTGGAGCACGGCTTTCTAACCACTATATCCATCCTGTGCCAAGGCCAGGGCTGCACCACCTGCCTCTGAGACAGCTGCACCAGCAGCCCCGGCTGCCCCAGCATGTGGTGCAGCTAGTGCTGCTGTTGCAGCTGTCTCAGACCACCAGCCGCTGTCTCAGAGGCTGGTGGTCTGAGACAGCTGCACCAAGCCCTGCACCACACCTAATACTACAGCCGCACTACCAGCCCCACCTCCACTAGTTGCCTCCGTGCGCACTATAGCACCTCTGGAAGATGATGGCTATGGGCTCTTGGTCGTTTCAGGCGATGGCCTGTAGTTGCAGGACCAGTTGATGGCTCACCTTTGTGATTTCTTGGTGGGCCAGATGGATTCTGACTTTGCTAAGATGCAGTGAACATGCCAAAGATATCTACGGATAGAACTGCTAGTTATTCATGTCTTCCATAGAAAAACACCTCTGTGTGTTGAGCAATGTTGCACCAGCCAAGTTCAGAAACACCGATAGTAGATACAGATCATCCAAGTACTGTATGTATTTTTCTTATCCTATGTGAAAATGATAACGCATAGGCAACAGGGTTCATGTGTGGTCTGAGATGTGCTGTGGCATCTCCGCTTCTCCTGTTTTTCCTGCTTTTCCTGCTTCTCTGCTTTTCCTGCTTCTTTGCTTTTCTGCTTCTATGCTTTTCTTGATTCTCTCTTTTCTGCTTCTCTGCTTTTCTGCTCCTCTGCTTCTGCGCCTTTCTACTTCTACTTTTCCCTTTTCTGCACTCATGCATCCTTGCTGCTCTGCTTCTTCCTGCTGCTCTGCTTCGTTTCTTTGCTGTCTCTTTGCTGTTCTTTTTCTTTTGCTTTATTCTCTCCTGTTTATATCCTTTTTGAGACCTTATAGAAAACCCTAAATCAAACCTTGAAACGCACAGACACTTTTGCACACAAATTCTTTTACACACAGACACTTTTATTACACACTGAAGCTTTTACACACAGACGCTTTCACACACAGAAGCTGCTATGCACATGTTTTTTTACAGACAGACGCCCCAGTTTTCTACTATCAAAATGTCATGTTATGCTGGGGAACCCGCTGCGGGGCAGCTCAAAATCGCAATGCTGCCGCAGTTTTTGACGATCGAACCTCATTTTGTTCGTAACTGTCACATGTTCATCGCTCGTGGCCACCCCGCCGCCTTCACAGAAAATAAAAATTAGCAGACGAGAGAAGAGAGAAGAGAGAGAGAGAGAGCGAGAGAATGAGAGACAGAGGGAGAGAGAAAAGAGAATGCAAGATCTGAAGATGTATATAAGATCTGCAGACGTAAGATGTGAAGTTGTAAGATCTGAAGATGTAACATGTGAAGTTGTAAGATCTGCAGATGTAAGATCTGAAGATGGAAGATCTGCAGACGTAAGATGTCTGCAGACGTAAGATGAGCAGGTGTAAGATCTGCAGACGCAAAATGTGCAGATGTAAGATATGCAGATGTAAATTGTGCAGATGCAAGATGTGCAGATGTAAGACGTGCAGGCATAAGATGTCCAGATGTAAGATGTCCAGATTAAGATACGCAGATGTAGGAGGTGAAGATGTATTATCTCAGCGCCTTTTTTTAGAAGAACCCTACACTCAGGCGCTGGGAAAAACACACCTTTTCAAAAAAACTAAGATACAGTAAGTAAAACTCTTCTTCACAAAGAAAATGATGGGTTGGAATTCATCAGCCTAGGTCTTCGATGAAGAATTTCTGACCCTGGTGGGTGTGCTACTTTTTCCCGATGTTAATTCAAAAAGACAACGCTTTTGGCCGATATCTCCGAAGTTGAGAACAATTTGCTATCCATCCCGCAGAGTTGAATTCCAAGGCCTGGTGGATGGGGAAATTTCCGGTAATTCCCAATCTTCCGAGAATGCTAAATACCAACCGAAATCATCAATACTATACCCTAGACACCTTGTATAAACCAACACCCAAGCCTGCCTACCATGTAAACCCATCGATTCTGAATGTTTTTTTTATGCATTACTAAGTTTGACGCACCACTTTACAAATGAAATGCCGCTGAGAAAATTATAGCAACATACATGCTGATACAGATCTACAACCTGTCATTTCGAAACAATTTTAAAAACATCAAAATGAATATATCAAGAACATATACCATGTACGAAAAAAGACTGAGAAACACACACAATTCATAGATGACAGTTGTTTTACCTGCAGTAGTTCAATCATATAACCTATAACGACCAAAATCTTCAAAACCGTAAGGAATCCCGGTAAAAAGATCCAAGGACATAGGGTTAACTCTTCAATTTGCATAATTATCCGAAGCTCTTGTTATTTAACTATCCTTGATCGTTTGTTGAACGTGATTTTTTTCTAACTTACCCAGAGGATCCCAGAGGTATAATCCCCAAAAAGATAGAAACGGTTCAAACTATCACTCTTCTAGTAGGACTCTACAAACTTCTATCTTTTTGACAAGTGAATCCGCCCTGCCCTTTCTTGGGCACCGAGGCGTGTCTACAAGGAGCACGTGGACTCCGAGCCCAACTCGGGCGGCCGCAGCGGCCTGTGCCGCCGCAGTGAGGCGGTGCCCATCTCGAGCAGCGACAAGGCGTGGCTGGGATAGGGTGTCTTATGTAATATATATATATATATCTATATATATATATATCATATATATATATCATATATATATATATCATATATATCTATCATAATGTTGGTTCCTGATTAGTGTGTGGCCCCCCCCCTGCCCTAAACTATATCTGGACTCTCTTTAAAGTAAAAAGTCAAAAAAATTCTTCCCAAAAGAAAAACATATCCTCAATTAAGTAAGGATTTCAATTGGCTACAATTGAAATCTAATTGCTATTGTTTTTTTTGCCGATGAAGTTATGCCGATGAAGTTATGGTACTTGTAGTACTTGTAGAACTTGTAGTACTTGTAGTACTTGTAGTACTTGTAGTACTTGTAGTACTTGTAGTACTTGTAGTACTTGTAGTACTTGTAGTACTTGTAGTACTTGTAGTACTTGTAGTACTTGTAGTACTTGTAGTACTTGTAGTACTTGTAGTGCTTGTAGTACTTGTAGTGCTTGTAGTGCTTGTAGTGCTTGTAGTGCTTGTAGTGCTTGTAGTACTTGTAGTACTTGTAGTACTTGTAGTACTTGTAGTACTTGTAGTACTTGTAGTAATTGTAGTACTTGTAGTACTTGTAGTACTTGTAGTACTTGTAGTACTTGTAGTACTTGTAGTACTTGTAGTACTTGTAGTACTTGTAGTACTTGTATTACTTGTAGTGCTTGTAGTACTTGTAGTACTTGTAGTACATGTAGTACTTGGAGTACTTGTAGTACTTGTAGTACTTGTAGTACATGTAGTACATGTAGGACTTGTAGTACTTGTTGTACTTGTAGTACTTGTAGTACTTGTAGTACTTGTAGTACTTGTAGTACTTGTAGTACTTGTAGTACTTGTAGTATTTGTAGTACTTGTAGCACTTGTAGTACTTGTAGTAAGGGTTTAATAAGGGATTGGCTCCTTTGGGAAAGGCTTGGAGTTTGAATTTGGCAATTGCCTTTGGAAAAGGCTTGCTTCTCTTCTGGGCTTCCAGGAGCTGCTCTGGCAGAGCTTGCTGCAATAGTGAACCCAGCAAACAAACCTACTAAAGTGAAATGGAGCCTCTCCTGGTCCAGGGCCTTGGGAAATTGTAGAAAAGCTGTTCTTTAATAAGGGTTTAATAAGGGATTTGCTCCTTTGGGAAAGGCTCGGAGTTTGAATTTGGCAATTGCCTTTGGAAAAGGCTTGCTTCTCTTCTGGGCTTCCAGGGGCTGCTCTGGCACAGCTTGCTGCAATAGTGAACCCAGCAAACAAACCTACTAAAGTGAAATGGAGCCTCTCCTGGTCCAGGGCCTTGGGAAATTGTGGAAAAGCTGTTCTTTAATAAGGGTTTAATAAGGTATTGGCTCCTTTGGGGAAGGCTTGGAGTTTGAATTTGGCAATTGCCTTTGGAAAAGGCTTGCTTCTCTTCTGGGCTTCCAGGGGCTGCTCTGGCACAGCTTGCTGCAATAGTGAACCCAGCAAACAAACCTACTAAAGTGAAATGGAGCCTCTCCTGGTCCAGGGCCTTGGAAAATTGTGGAAAAGCTGTTCTTTAATAAGGGTTTAATAAGGGGTTGGCTCCTTTGGGGAAGGCTTGGAGTTTGAATTTGGCAATTGCTTTTGGAAAAGGCTTGCTTCTCTTCTGGGCTTCCAGGAGCTGCTCTGGCACAGCTTGCTGCAATAGTGAACCCAGCAAACAAACCTACTAAAGTGAAGTGGAGCCTCTCCTGGTCCAGGGCCTTGGGAAATTGTGGAAAAGCTGTTCTTTAATAAGGGTTTAATAAGGGATTGGCTCCTTTGGGAAAGGCTTGGAGTTTGAATTTGGCAATTGCCTTTGGAAAAGGCTTGCTTCTCTTCTGGGCTTCCAGGGGCTGCTCTGGCACAGCTTGCTGCAATAGTGAACCCAGCAAACAAACCTACTAAAGTGAAATGGGGCCTCTCCTGGTCCAGGGCCTTGGAAAATTGTGGAAAAGCTGTTCTTTAATAAGGGTTTAATAAGGGATTGGTTCTTTTGGGAAAGGCTTGGAGTTTGAATTTGGCAATTTTGGAAAAGGCTTGCTTCCCTTCTGGGCTTCCAGGGGCTGCTCTGGCACAGCTTGCTGCAATAGTGAGCCCAGCAAACAAACCTACTCAGATAGAGATGCATTTGCAGGCTCAGATAGAGAGATGAGCAAAAACTTGACTGAGCTACAGCGTTTTTGAGAAAAAATGCCTCTCAGCAATTACATTTTTTTTTTAAAAGTGCTCTCCCAATTTTGTTTTGCCACAAAAGCGAACCCTCCAAACAATACATGAGTTTCAGAATAATTTGGAAAAATTGCCACAATAGCGACCCTAGCTACTAATCAGGAGCTAACATTATATAATAATGCGTATATACACTATATGGTAATCAATCTGAAAGTTGTTCATGTTATTTTGGGAACCCTCGCGAAAGTTTTGCGAAACTTCGATAGTATGAATCGCTATATTGTATACATATGGTGGTTTCCTAAAATAGGGGTACCCCCAATCATCCATTTACCGATGGATGTTCCATTATAGCCATCCATTTTGGGGTACCTTTATTTTAGGAAAACCCATATACAACTTGTAAAGGGCTACCACCCCCTGCCGCCCAGGGGTCTGGCAGTTCGAAAGAGATTGGAGAATTTCGGTTTGGTTTTGGTTCAGTTCACCGTGTTGTACTATACTCCGGACATACCTTTCCCTTCATATAGGTAGCAGCAGAGCTTCCAAAGGGCAGGCTTCGCGACAGCCAAATACCATAGTCCTCAAGCACATCCGCGGACCTGCTGCTGGTACTGACTAACGTTGCTTTCTGAAGTCTCAAGAAACAAGCTCCAAACGCCGCAGCCAAGCTTCCAAAAGTGAGGCTTTGGGACAGCCAAACCCAAGGCCCCTGGTATGTGTATTTTGATAGTGATTATATTTGAATATGGTTTATTAATAGTGTATACAAATAGTACATACAGTATAGTTTAGTACATTAGTTTTGTACTTTGATGGTGTATAGGGTTTATATGGTATGTACATACATAGAATCTCCAAAAAGATAGAAACGTATATAGACAAGTCGCATTTAGCATGTATTTTAGTACAGGCATTCCCGAAGTGTTGTGTTGCCCTGACTTCACGGAGGTGTCTATGGAGCTGCCCAGCTGCTGCGATGCCTCAAAGGCTTGTGTTGGCACCTGCTGGCGCTCCTGTTGCGCCTCCAGCCGCTTGGGCAAACGAAGCAAATCCGAGGGCTGGTGGGTGGATGGAGATGTAGACCACAAATTATGACACGTCAAATTTGGGAAAAATATGGAAAATTGAGGAGAAACCATTGTTGAAGTGGGTGTTGCAGTGGCATTTGCGCCAATGCCTGATTTGGGGGGAAAAAAACCCTGTTCGAAGCAAAATGTGGAGAATCACTTGTCAATTTCGGACGAATACCCAGGCAAAAAAAATTAATATATAGCAGTTTCTTTTAATGTGGTACTCGTGTGGGGTTTACTTTGGTGGCGGATGATCACTTTATATGTATGAATATGTGATATGGATGCGTATATGTATAATTGAATAATACTGAATATATTCATATATATATACACATGTTGTTGGAAACATTTGTTTAATGCCCACAAACAACCACGTTTAATTTCCGATGGCTATGATAATTTCAATTGTGGCTGTAAGAGACGTGATTCACCACTGCCCATCAATACTATTACATACCTTTTGGAACCCATCTGCATTCGTATGCCATTGCTAAATGCCAAGTGCTACGAATCTAAGGTTTTTGCCATTACCAAAACCATCATCAACAATATGGGAATACCATGATGCTCTTGCACCATGGTATTACCAATTTATTCTCTGATTCAATTCATATAGAATACACCCAGCATTTTTCACCCCATTATTCCCATTGATACCTGTTGTCATCATTGCAGTTATTGTCGTTATTGTGCCAATGATCAAACATTACAGTAAAGATAGATACAAACTCACGAGTGCCCATTTGCCTATTCTTATAATCTGTATTGCAACCATTATTACATCCGTAAGCTTAACACCTGCTAACCGTACTTGATGGATTATCCTACTTACTAAGTAGCTTAGTTCACCCGAGGTAAAAATATGTAAAAATGTTGATTAGCACTTCATACTATTGTTAACCGTTTGATGTTAAAATGTAAAAATAAAAATAGTCATTTGGGTCGGAAACACATCCATATATCAATTGAATTAATCAATCATCATAATTCAAAAAAAAAATATATATATATCCAAAATAATCCATAATATGTCCATTAATCAACATATATCTGATTTTCTTAACAAACATTTGGATATATTGGTAAAAGGAATCTTTATATTGTTTGTATCAAAATCTATGTTTCAATATTTTATCACCATTGCCAGTGCATGATTGAATGACTAATTATCATAATTATGATAATTATCAATAATTAATCCACATATATCCAGAAAAAATACCACCAATTCGTTTTTATTCTTGTATTATCCTTTATCATATTCCCTATATTCCATTCCGTGAATTAATTACTAAAACCCATGAATTGCTTAACCTTACCCATCCAATAGCCATCCAAGCGGATCGCACAAAGGTTCTTCACCTTTGGTGGCCGGCGTCTTCCTGGGCGCCAAGGTGGAGGGCGAGCTGGGCGGCGGTCCCGTGCGCTTGACGCGGGACGTCCGGACCCCGGCCACCGGCGAAATCTGGGCCAGGTCCACCAGGTTTGGTGATTTTGCTACGGAAAATTCATGGGACACCCATGCTTAGATGGGCCATGGGAAAAACGCGATTTATGGTAACTGGGGATATAACATATATTGGTACAGTTAATCATGAAAAAATCCATTATCAAAATCTTGACCAAATATAATTCATTATATTATAATCCCAAATATTGGTACTTAGATGGGTGGGAAAAACGCGATTTATGGTTAGTAACTGGGGATATGTTACCCCCTAATTATATCCCAATGAAGTAATCCATGGCTACTAATTAGTTATATAACTAACTCCATGGCCCATCTAAGTGGATCCACCCCAATTTGCTGATGAATCCAGTTTCCTATTGAGATGGCCATGGGCATTGAAAACTGTTACGATTTGAAGCTGCTGCAAACGGGTTTTTTGCCCCCCCAAAAAGAGGATTGGTTCTGCAAAACATGTGATTTTGATGAGATTTTAGTTCAACAGTGGTGTTGTCTGAGAATGTTGGCGAAATCTGGACATTTGATGGTTTCAAATTCAAACAGTTGAAAACACATGTTTCAAAACGGGGGGAAAATAACCGGCAAACAGGTTGAAACGTGTCAAAAAATCTGGAAATGAGGAATCAACCGCTCAAAGAGTCGCCAAGACTTCTCAGGACCATGGTAAACCTTGGTTGGAGAGTTTAATACTCTATAAAATTAGGTTTATTTTTTGGATTGTATCTAATACTATTAAAATATATTCAAATTGTTAAGATTATATAGTCATAATCCCTTGCTGATATTAGAGGAAGAACTACCACAATCAATAGATGGCAGCTGCCAAACCATCTCCTGCAACCCAGGTAGACACTGTACCTGAAAAATTAGCAGGTGCCATTTTTTCTAGGTCAATCTTAGATGGGTAGTTTAATCCTTTAGTTTTGGGTGTCGATGGGATTATCTATTCACCAGCTACAGTTATAGCCCTTTACCAATTATAAGTACTTATAACCCCATTTATAGAATGTATAATCCCACTTATAACCAGTTATAACTGACAAATGGCCACAACTGTAATTTGTTTGTTAATTTGCTGCAGGGTATCTAAGATTGGCCATGATTATTGTAGGACTCTGAAACAACTGAAATCGCCAGTGAATACAGGGAACGGGAACGGATGGAAAGTCTTCAGATTTTTCAATCCGTGGTTTCAGGATTTCTATGGGTACCAATCATGGGATTGAACCACTCATTTGTAGAAACAGGAAACTATAGGATTGAAATTCTCTAATTTCTTTGGCTGAAACACAAATTAGATCCAATTAGCTGTTGCTTCGCCCCCAAATTAGTTGTGATTTTCCAATTTGGCTTGGACCATACAGCTTCGGTGGTACAACTGCATGTTGAAAGAAGCATCATTTCAATTTCTTTCCAGTTCAGCTGTGCAAAAAGAAAATCACAATTTCAAATATTTCAATCTTCAGATGATTTTGCCTAGTAGATAAAAGGTGGAAACGCCAAAAGACGGTTTTAAGATGTTCGGAAAAAACATACAGTATGTTGGGGGCTTATTCACATCCATAATTTCATGAAAATTCCAGCCATTTTGATGTGAAAACCAGGGATTCCATGGCCTTCCTTGGCATTTCAGGTCTGGACTCTGCGCGAAGTGGAGCAGCTTCTTCTGATGGCCCAGCGCGGCCGGGAGCTGCTCGGGCTGCCAGAGGCCCGGCAGATCCTGGCAGAGCAAGGGCGGCAGATTTTTGGGGTTACTCCCCATCTCAATCTCCGTATGGTTGGTGGTTTGGAACATGACTTTTATGACTTTCCATAGATTGGGAATAATCATCCCAACTGACTTTCATATTTTTCAGAGGGGTTGAAACCACCAACCAGCCATTAATCTCTGGTAAACAAACAGTTTGCTATTGAAAATGGCCCAGTCGAAATAGTTGATTTCCCCAGCTAAATAGCATGGGCCAGCATGGGTGGATTTTCATGGATTTTCCAATTCGTTATGTAAACGTTTACCAGGCCGGGTAATCTCCAGTTCGTTTTTTTCGAGTCGGCCCCAGGGGAAAAATCTCCAGGGGTCCAGTTCGGCACGGTGAAATGATGTGACATGGACGTAGCCTCGGTAGGATCATGTGAAGCACGTGGCTGGCTGGGAAATCCCTGGTACGTAAATAGAGGCTGAAAGGGAAATTCATCTATCATTGGTGGATTTTCCATTGCCATGTTACCATGTAAGTTTATACTAGACTCAGAAATATGTATATATACATATATATATATATTTATTTATCTGGGTAAATTTGATCACGACCTCACTGGTCTCCCGAACCCTGGAATCATGGTTTATTTTAGGGAAATCATCCCCAAATGGCCGCAAGATTCAGGTTAGTGAAATATTATAATTTACCCAGATCTATCATTGGTGGATTTTCCATTGCCATGTCACCGGAGAGAAAAAAAACTGGATGTTTGTTCGCTGCGTCTGTTTATTGTGATTGAGGGATGATGGTTTCATTGATTATGCAACGAACAAGTCCCAACTTATATCATGTATAGACTGCTGCAAAGCACATGTTCCGACCAATTGCAATTCACATCTTGTTTGTTTCTTTCCAGTGCCATGTTTCATCAATAGAGCCCACCCCCAGTATATCCCCACTATCCAAGCCACATGTTTTGCTGCAACAATTCCCCAACAAAACACCCATGGCGAAACACGCTACGTCTCCCTCTTGGCTCCGAAAACGTAATGCGAAACGGGAATGCTTCTGCTTTAGATTGTGATACCTTTTTCTTTTAGAGCTGACTGAACAAACAATAGGAAGAAAAGCGTAATTTCGGGTACCTAAGTGATATGTGGTGTTTGCTGGACCAGGTGTGGGTCAAGATACCATTTTTCCATTATCCCATATGGGAGTCGTCCTAAAACCCACATAAGATTTCAGGAATCTCAATGACAGCTGCTGATATGGATGTGTGTCTTTAGGGTATGCAAAAGCGCGGGGAGATAGCAATTTTCAGGAACACCATGTGGTGAATATAACTATAATATAGATGGAATTATCAACCAACATATAATATACCCGAACAACCCGAAGCAAAAAAAACATAATTCCTTTTATAGTTTTTTTCCACATGTTTTTTTGATTTCAATCATTGGGATAGTGACATTGGCTTCAGGTGAGCGCCATTCCTGATCTGGAAGCTCCAGTGCAGGTGAGAGAGGTTCCTGGAGGTTTCCCTTAAAATGGGTTCATTGTGGTTCTATGCTGCGGTTTATGGATGTTAACGAACTAGAAAAAAGTCGAAAATGGGGACAGAAAGAGCTAGAAAGATGACCAAAGATCACGATTCATCCTGAAATGGTTGAGAGTTGGGATTAGAGTTATACTGCCACTAAGCGGCTGAATTATTGGGGCTGTAAACCTATCTAATATGGGAACACCTATCGGGCAGTACAAGCGGATGGCATGCAATTTCTGAAATTCCGAATTTTGATGCTTAAATCCACGTGTTTGTTTGATGATTACGTCCCGGTAACCACCTTCTTGTTGGTCAAATCATGCCAAATCCCCATGATTGATATTTTTTGTTGGCTAACATTCCTATGCCCTTTATGCTGTTGATCCATTCCTGCCAGGTGACAGATATAGATTGTGGTGCCATGACTTTCGGCAAGGCCGTCTGCTTTTGGGGGTGCTTTTGGGAAAAGATCCAGGGATGGGTCATCATCCGGTGATTTCACATAATGGTAAACGTTTACATAACTATGGAAACTCACCATTTTTAATGGGAAATTTCACTATAAATGGCCATGTTCAATAGCTTTTTGTATGTTTACCAGAGGGTAACATAGCTATGGTGACTTGATGGCCCATTTGGATCCATTTCATCGATGATTTGCCAAGAAATGGTGATGTGCCACAGCTATCCAGAGGTATATAAACCCCCAACCTCAGTTGTGTCTTTCTTTGTTTTTGATTATGGGTATTCCCACGCTGCGTATCGAAAACACAGAAAAAAAGAGACCAGGTCGAGGGTATCGAGGTTGAAAACATATCGTTATCTTCATCACTTCTTGTTGACTAGATCTCCATTTTTGTGCTGCTTCTGCCTTATTCAGAATCACTTTTCTTTGGCCACATATTATTTGGGAGTGGTGGCTAGTCGACCCCTCGAAAGTCCTGAAAAACTGATCCAACGTGGAAGGAACCATCTAGGCAACATCCCTTCAAACAAGGTGAGTTTCACCATTTTATAGCGGTAAATCCATGCTATCAATGGACCATTCAAACCGTGTTTGATCAGTTTGATCTCGGGATGCTGATCCCCATCGACAGCACACCAGGAAGGCTTGCCGACCATTTCAGAGGCTGGGAGAAAACCTGGTGGCAGACATGTTTCAAAAAAGCCTATCGATCCAGAATCTTTCCTCTTGAGGACCTGATATACGGGATGTAACTTGGGTGCTATTGATAGGTGTATCAGTGTATCATACTTCCTATTCGGGATTGATTCCTTAATGGCTGCTATTGTTCCTCAATACCTTTCGGTATCTTTTTCGTTTTTTTGTGTCCGACCTCGAAGGAGCTGGATGAAGGGAAGCCATTCAAAAACTGGCCATCATATGAAGCTAGTGTTTTGAGTAACGAGGTTAAGAAGCCAGGCATAGATCAAACTAGGTGATCTATCTTGATCTACTTCAATTGCCTTAGGCTATGTTGTTCCATTGATTTAGCCCATTAGGTCATTGCATTTACCTATGTAAACTTTATCCATGGATTTGGCCCAGAAAAATATCTGATTGCATTCACCCATGGAAAACCATTACTTCAGAGCTCTAATCGCCTAAAAAATCCCCTTTCAACTTAGCACCTCATCGTTTGAGCCATGGTCAAAACACAGCTTGAATGTATACATACATATATATATATAATTATCTTTCATTATACATAAAAATACATATTAATGCATACTAATATACTAATTAGCATAGGAAGAGATGGCCATTCCTTCAATGTTAGTAAAGTTATAGGATCCACCATCCCCAGTCTAGAAATTACCTTTTAGATGATTTAAAGCTATCAATCCATACTTGGTGGCTCATCCCACTTACTAACTAGGTTATATCCCTGGTTATAAGTGGGATAAGTAGGCTTAATCCACTTGTAACTGGGCTTGTAACCTACTTACAGAGATGAACCACCAAGTATGGATTGATGGTTTTAAATCATTCAGAAATGGTAATTTCGAGACTGGGGATGGTAGCTCCTATTGCTTTACCAACATCTCCCAAGGGCTTCCCCCGAAAGCGCAGCCCCGTGGCAAGCCGCTCGCCGCTCGCAGGATGCCGTGCTGCGCGAACCCAGTGCTCAGAGCACGGAAGCCTCTGCCGCTTTGTCCTCCAAGGCAGCTGCTCCCGGCAGACGGGCTGTGGTTTTTTAAGATCGAAAATGATGATAGGATGGTGACTATTGATGGTTTCTGATGGTGAATGATGGTGATTGATGGTGATTGATTTTTAGTATCCGGGATTGGATAACACCTACCGAAAGGGAAGGACTTGGGCTACAGTACAAATTGCCAGCCAGGGGTCGTTTTGTACAAAAAAATGCGCTTGTGCCAAGCTTTTTGTAGTTTCATTTATTTCGTAGCGTTTGGAAATCGTTCGGAATTTGTTCATTTCAAATCCTCATTTGCATTTTGTAGTTGTATATGTTGAGTCAGTTGAAGCATCCAACATAAAATATCATTTGCAGTTTGTAGTTGTATATATATGTTGAGGAAGTTGAAACATCCATAAAATGTCAGCTGCATTTTGTGGCTCCTCCAGACTTGACCAAGAACAATTTGTAGTTTGCAACGGGACAAATATTCACATCCTCCACCGGCGCTCCCAACTAAAAACAGTAATTGAAGACGCTGGCAGTGCGTAACCTATAATTATATATTTTTAACCCGCTGCCAGTACAGAATGGTATCTAACAACTGCATGGGGTTAACACTTGATCCAATCAAATTCAATCAGTGACAACTACAAAATGTTTTCTGAAAAGTATGTTGGTCGGAACTTTGGATGGCATAGACCCAACTACAAAATGTGATTGGGAAATTTAATGTTTGAATTTCCGATTTTCAGCTAGTTTTCAACTTCAGATGCATAGCTTTTTGTAGTGCATATCTTGAAATGTTTTCTGAATCAAATCAGGTTGTGCTCTGCATTTTGTAGGGCACCTGTGCAGCCAATTTTGTAGTTGCAGGTCGGATGCATTGTGTTTTGTACCTATGAAATTGCTCTGCACAACTCCTCCCCCCTTATCTGAACCCCGATTTTTTAATGTTTTTTTTTGATGACTAATCCCTTCACCCTAATATTAAACGTCCCCCCCTCCCCCCCAATAATAAAACTTAGGGGTAGTTTTTATTATTAGGTGGTATTTAATATTCGGGGGAGAAGCTGGATCCTAACATTAAATTACAAACTTTAAAAAAAAACCTAAAATGTTCGATTTCAAAATCCATTATATAAGTTCCCTTTTAAAAGCTAATTAAAATATTGCCAAAAATTGGATTTCGAAGCTCTCCCCTAATTTTAAATTAAAAACCTCAATAATAAAATTTCCGATTTCACAATCTGATTAATTTCCCTTTTAAATCCCAATTAAAATATTGCCAAAAATTGGATTTCGAAGCTTTCCCCTCATATTCAATTTAAAACCTCAATAAAAAGAAAACAAACTAAAATTTTTGGTTTCAAAACCGATGAAATTCCTTTTTAGAATCTAATTAAAATATTGCGAAAAATTGGATTTCGAAGCTTTCCGCTAATATAAGACACATTGAAAACCTTATTTTTTTAAAACTGAAATTTTTGATTTGAACAAACGGACCCCCCACCAAAAAAAAAACACCCCTGTGCTAACTAGTTTTTTTAATGATTAAGGGGGGTAGATTCTTCAAAGGGACCTTGATTTTTAAATTGTTTTCCAATGGGGATCAATTAAAAGTCAAATTGACCTATCTGCAATTTCCCAAAACAAATAATCTGGAGTAGTTGTTATCATTTATGAGGGGTTTAGTAATAAGAAGAAGGGATTATCGATGATTATTGATGGTTAATTATTGATGGTTCTTGATGTTTATTGATGACTATCGATTGCGATTGATGGTTATTGATGGTGGTTGATGGTTAGTTATTGATGGTTGTTGATGGTTATTGATTGTTATTTATGATTATCGATGGTTATCGATGGCTCTTGATGGTTATTGATGATTGTTGATGATTATTGATGTTTATTGCTGGTTGTTGATGGTTGTTCATGGTAATTGATGGTTATTGACATATTGATGGTTGTTGATGGTTATTGATGATTATTGTTTTTTGTTTGTAATTTGTTATTGATGGTTTTGGGCGGTTATTGACGCTTATTGATGGATGGATATATATATATATATACATAGATATATTAATTATTTACCATTGTTCATTTAGATTGATTCTGTATCTATACTTAGATGGGCCATGGGATTAGCTAAATGGTTAGTAACTGGGGATATAACCCTCTATATCAAAAAAAAATAAAAAAACTAACTAGTTAACTAACTCCATGGCCCATCTAAGTACCATATATAGGTAGCACGGTGGACCTACCTTTGTTAAGACACTTGCAGGGCAGCAGCGACGCGACTACGGTCACCACCGTCGCTTGGCCTTCGTAAGTGCCAGAGACTGTGGGTGTTGAGTATCAACAGTTTCATTGCTATTTGGCCATGCTCCAAGTGATATGTCCAAAAATAAATGGTTAATGAGTCCTTAAGTTAGTGGCTTTTGGTGGTTACAGTAATGGTATAAACTCTGACGAGAAATCTCTATTGTTGGGGGCGTCACCGAGTTCGCTGAATCTCCATGACAGTTATCCCTTTCCTGGTCTTTGTCATTATGCTCCTCACAATCAACAAAACATATCCAGAAATATTACTCAAGACATCCCTGCCCCCTACTGACACCCTTGGCGAGAATGTGACCCCGAAGAAAAGACACATGGTGTGCTTAGATGGGCCATGGAGTTAGTTAACTAGTTGGTAAATGGATTATAATTGGGATATAGAGGGTTATATCCCCAGTTACTAACCAGGTAGTTAATCCCATGGCCCATCTAAGTACCATGGCACATGATGGTACAAATTGCATTCTGAATTGTGTTATACCAAGTTATACCATCATTTCCCTCGTATGTGATTATTTATCCATGCCTATTGTTTTACATTATATTAGGTTTCCCATGGAAGACCATAAAGCCATGAATTCCATCTCACTTGACCAGGTAGGCCAGGTAGGAACTCGACGATCTTCCATGGTTTCTTCATAGATTTTTCCAGTGAGCCATGGATTTGTTTTTTAATTTTAGTTTTGTGCATGTTTTTTCTATGCGCCAAACTGTTGATTGTTTTTTCGAATATGTCGGATCCTTCGGAAGAACTGGTTCGGAAGGCTGATTTGGGAGTTTTCGGTGAATCCAATGACGCCAGCAGAATTGTGTCAGTTCACATCACCCTCTTCTAGAATCTTGTGGTTATTGACTTATTGGTGATGATTGATGGTGATTATTGATGGTTATTTTGTTATTGATGGTTATTGATTGTTATTAGTTACTAGAATATGTTTGACTGAATGTTTCACCCGACCCCGAAAATTGTGGGTTGAAAGGAGTAACCATGGTTTGGGCATGGTTTTCCTCATGTTTTGGTCTTTGAAATAAAGGTTTCTCAATTCTTGGAAGCCCTTTCCATCCCATAGTTTGGTTTTGGTTGGATCACATTTTCTTACATTCCATTAACCTTCAATTTGTTGGTTGAAACCCTTTAAATCGCCTTTTTTACTACAATCTGGTGCCCTTCCCGCTTTGTCTGTCGCTTTAGAACACCCATTAACGAAAAGATCTAGTAGGTATCATAAAAGTGGAATAATGATGTTCACCAAGTTGACAAAGTATGGGGCACCACCTTGTATACTTATAGTGTTTCATTCTTCTTACCAAGTAGGAAATAACCCCAGTTGCAAGGAGATTTTCCAACCCGATCCCATCCACTAATCCTCACCTTCCCCAGGTCAGGTCCGCACCAAGACCCAAAATGAAGTCGCAGGTGGGGAGTCCCAAGTCCGAGTGATTCAAGGGGTCAATCGGGTTAATCTGGCTGACTATGGGCCTATGGCTGACTCTTTTCTTGGGGATTCAAGGGGATTTCACCACGATCATTTGTATGGAAATTGTGGCTTAATGGGATCGAACCAACATCATGGGATGGGATCGCTTAGGCAAAAAAGGTGCTACAGAAATGTGTAAATTGTGATTGTATGGGATACCTTGCCAAACAAGTTTATCTGTTTGGAGGGGGGTTCCCCTCCAATTTATGGCAACCTCAATTGCGAAAAATCATCGTTTCAACCATTGCTTTTTCCTGAAAGCAACAAGACAGGACTGGCTAAACAAGGGGTTGTCAACCGAAATGATACCGGAAATGTCATGGTTAGGCAAACAAGGGGGGGCTGAGAACCCAAAAGCAAAACGACAGCAAACAAATTTGAGTAATACTGATAATTGGTTTATTTCTTTTTCGCCTCTTGCCAGCTTCTTTTTAGAAGATGAACATTATGGACGCATTCACTGCAAATTTCATTTTTCCCCACCTGCCAGGTGAGGGTTGTTAGATTTTATCAGAGTTGTTCTCCTCGGCTAGCTGTCCTCCTCGTCCTCGTCCTCCTCCTCCTCGTCCTCCGCCTTCTCCTCCTCCTCTGCCTCCTCCTCCAGTTTCTCCTCGATCATGTCTGCATCAACTTCCACCTCAACTTCCGCCTTGCCAACTCTTCGCCAAGCTCTTTGCCAACTTCCCACCTCAGTGTGCACCGCTGGACCACAACCTGGGACCAAACCAGCTCAGTGTGCACGGCTGGACCTCAACCTGGGACCAAACCAGCTCAGTGTGCACCGCTGGACCTCAACCTGGGACCTTCCCAGCTCAGTGTGCACCGCTGGACCTCAACCTGGGACCTTCCCAGCTCTGCGTGCACTGCTGGACCTCAACGGCCAGATAGAATACCAGAAGATATGCCAGATAGAGTGTTAGAAGATATGTCAGATAGAATGCCAGAAGATATGCCAGAACATATTGCAGAAGATATGCCATGTAGAATGCCAGAAGATATGCCAGAAGATATGCTAGATAAAATGCCAGAAGATATGTCAGATAGAATGCCAGAAGATTTGCCAGTAACAAAACGTATAAATGTCATGGTGGGGATAACTCGAAGTAAAGTAATTTCAGCTCTGCGCGGAAACATTGAGTGACAGTGTGCAATAGCCAAGCAAGCTCATTTGAGCACGGTCATGCGACGGCGGCTGATTTCCAAATCAACCTCTCCTTTCCTTTCCCTTCCTTTCCTTCCT